GCGCCGAGCAAATGGAATTTTCATTTTTGACAGAGCGTTACGTATTGAAGTTGGATGCAGAAGATGGAAAGCAGGAGAAAGGACAAAAAGTTAAAGAGCAAACGATAACAAAAACGAGAGGAAATGAGAAAACGTCAAAATTACGCCGCGTTGATTTAGCGATAGCGCGCGCTGACCCTCGTTGACAATGGAAAACGCAACGCTTAGCGCTCCAATTTAGGGACGCCAGTGAGTGTTGGTGTTCTGCACTCTGGCAATCGGAAATTATTTCCGATTCCGGCACGATTACGATAACTGGGGCGACGAATTTTGAACAAGGACGTCGATAGAGGTTTTAAAAGCAATTATAACGGCATAACAGCAGTTATCAAGGGTCAAAAGTCAAACTCAAAATTTTTTTAAATCCAAATATCTCGAAAACGAAAGTTCCGATTTCAAAATTTTTTATGTCAATCAGGGCCAGTTTTTCAGTGGACGCCCGCGGTTTAAACTCAGTTCAAACGCCAGATCTGGCTGGTTTAAACTAAGCTGTTCAATTTAAACACAGTTTACTTAAACTGAGTTTAAACTGGCACTGAAAAACGGGCCCTCAATAGGAAATATGAATCCTTTAATACAGAGTATACAGTAATCCTGATAGACAAAACAAAAAATGTAAATATGCTTATTTGAAAATTTGTTTGAATGTATTGGTAGATATTTTTTCACAGTTGTCATTTTCGTTAACCCACATGAAATCCAATTTCAATATTGGCCCTTATTATGAGTTGCATTCGATGCTCGATCTTCGCTGGGTATCGAAGATCGAAAGTGAAACTCGTATTATGAGCTATGCAACCGTGTCGAAATTTTCGTTGAGTATCGAATTTTCTGTCGAACAGAATTTTGCTTTCGATGGTGTAGCGAAATGTTAGAAAATTGTGAAAAATGTATGATTTTGCATTTGTTTTCTTACTTTTTGGCGGCTAGACACTAATTTTAAACAATTTTTGTTAATTTTATGCAGTTCTAACGTCGTGAGTACTCATGAACCAAAAATACAAGATCACGTAAGAACGCGACGTTGTATTTGTAACTGGTTTTGAGAAAAAAGTTTGCGAAAGCGGGTTCGTCAGCTGAGCGTTTGTTTACATCACAAGCACTACTATTTTACACTTTTATTCAAGTACAGAAGAGTTAATTCAACATGACAACACATTTTAAAGCATTTTGTTGCATCATTTTACCTAAATTGTGCGTTTAAAGTGGCTGACAATAATTTTGGCTAATTTTGGTTTTCGTTGTTTTCTTCGCTTTGTTTACTTTTCGCTCGTTTTCCAGTGAAACAAGATGGCGTAGAACCCGCTAAAAAAAAATCTACTTTTTTCACTCTCTTGTTCTTACGTGATCTTGTGTCTTTCGTTCATGGTGAGTACTAAACACCAGGGTTCGTATTTGCATACACATGCTCTGCTCACACACACGCCAGAAACACATTCAACTTGCACTCACTGCTCATACACATGTGTGTGCATAAGTGGTAAACAAACTCTGCTCACAGAAAAGTGTGTGTGCTGTTTGTTATTAAGCGCATGCACATGTGTGTGTGCCGATTTTTGTACAAATTTCTGCCCATGCACATGCAATAATATATTTTTAAAAGAATTTTTTTATAAAACGTTATTTTTGGAAAGACAATTCAATAAAAAGTGATATGTTGTTTTTTTTATATGACAGAAAACATTCACTGATAAACAAAAGTATAGATATTTTATTATTATGTTTTCTGGTGTAGAATGAACAATATTTTTATAAAAAATTATCGAAAATAAATTAGAATAAAAACCTTTGCATATATTGCGAAAAATTCACTGTGCCAATATTTCTGTTCGGCACTGTATGTTTTAAACAATTAATTTAAGATTTGAGTTAAGGCGCGTTCACCGTTCGTGTCCAGACAACTTTTTATTTGCTCTCAAAACATTTTTGCGGGGAGGGTGCTGAAGTACGGCTGTAGCAAACAGCTGATGATATTGTTGCCTACATACGATTTTGGGGGCAAATAACACATGCAATTCGCTGCAAACGCATATAAATGAGAACGCGGCAACCCGAATCCTCAAGTCGTTCGAACAGAAAATCAAAATCGATTTGATTCGAACAAAGAGTGTTCAGCACATTTTTGTCGCGCTCTCAGTCAGACAAGGTGGCAAAAGAACGCGTAAAATTACTAACAACTAGTAATTTTTAGCAAAAAAAAAACCGACTTCAACTCCCATATAAAAAATATATATATATATATATATATCTCATGATCCACTGATCGGATCTCAACCAGATTAGTATGGGACCACCTCTGAGACACTACCTTTCCGATGCAAAAGAAATCGGTTGACGTGGTCCAAAGTTATGCGGTAACATACATAAAAA